AATCGGATGCTCGCCCGGCTGTGTCCCGTAATTAAAAGTGAACCGTGACGTCTCTAAATTAAAACCCGGACTCGGTTAAAAGCCGGCCGCTCGCCGGAAATTTTTAATCGAAGTGTTATGGAGAACCCGGGTCGGAAGGCGAAGCCCAACAGCCTGATTCAAATCTGAACGATTTCCGCGCGAGCGAGTCCTCGAATTTCATTCCCGCTTTATAATCGAATTGTTTCGAGAACCGGCCGCGAACCGATACGTCCCGGCCGTCGGAGCACAGGCGACATTATTTTTTGCCGAAAAGCAAACATCGAAGTGGAGAGATCGCTATTCGGTGATGTTTGTCTTTCGTCGGCTTGCGGCCCGGCAGCTATTTTAGGCGCGAACATTCGGATCAAGGAATTCGTTGATCCTCCGGCGACCGGGAATCTGGTTGAAACTATGCACGTTCCACGAGTGAAACAATATTTGCACTATCTTCTGAAGGAGGTCTCTGTTCGCGACGGGCTCTGATGGCCTCTTATGAGTTCGGGCTACACGGATATCGGTCGCGTGAGCTTTGTCGCTCCTTGAGGATCCTCGAGGAATTTCCACCGGATGCCATCGAACCGACCGATTATTCGCAGTCGTAATTTCTTATCGTTCGCGGTCCACCTTATCTAACCCACTATCCAGAAGCATCTCTTCGTTCCCATGTACAGAACTGTGTCCCAATGGAGGTCTACAACTAATCGAGCCATAAAGCGCGCTCGTTGAAAACGTTCGAGCATAATTTCGACGAGGTAATTGCAAGCCACGTTGCCCGCAGCTGCAGAAAACATCTGTTGGCCAAACACAGCTTTCCAGAGTCTCTCGATGGCTTTGCGGGGCGACACGCGTGACTTGGCTGGCGCTCGGATGACGCGGCGGACGAGGCTGGAACGAGCGAAAGGCAGCTTCGCAAGAATCGCGGCTCGCAGGAGTCGTCGACTCGAGCGTCGACTGGTTACCCAACAGCGAGGCACGCAGGGAGGTGGCGTGGCGCGAGAGTTCCTAAAGCGCGAAGCCCAGGTGAACGCGTTAAAGTGGCCGGAGTATCGATTCGGGCCGCAAAGCCGCAGCCGATCCAGGCATTTGTCAACGACGACAGGAAACGGTGGCCCACATATAACGCCTGTGTCCCGTGGCCTGGACACGTTTCAAAGTTTCCGAGACGCGGCTGACGCGTCGGGGAAGGGGTCCAGCAGGCGCGGGCGGGTTGACGCGCGGGCACAAGCGCAATTATTATTACGGCCATTACCCGCGTGTACCTATTGAAACTGTTCGTTCGACCGGTAGCCGTCGACCGGCCACGGGGTTATTATCCTATTGAGCTCGTAAGAAGCGGCCGGCCCGCGACGTCGTACGACCGTCTTACGACATCCTCCCTTTGTCGACGGACGGGGGAACGGGCCATTGCAAGAAGCGAGGCCGAGTCTCGCCATGCCTGACGCCATGGCTAACTCGGAGCAAGGACACCTCCAAGAAACACGGCTGCGACGTGTAACGATGGCCCTGTAGCCTGTCCAACGAGATAACAGAGTGAGCGTACATCAAATGTTCGCTGGTAAATACCGGCTAACAGGTTCCGGGAACCACCGATTTCACGGATATTAACCCTTTGCACTCGGAAGAATTTCTTTTTAAACAAATTCAAAGAGAAATCACAGGTAAATTGAGAAACAAAGCTTCTTTATTTCGCGCACCGATGTATAGTTCAATATTAAATATTAAATTTTATAATTTTACCGCGTCAAATCAAATGGCGACCGAAAGTCACCTCTCGAAATATTCACTAGACTACGCTGGGCTTGCGGAAACAGTTCATTTGGGTGATACGAGATTTCGTGAACATTGTTTGCTGGTATTCTCTGTCAATTTTATAGGTGGGAGTATAGGAATATCTATTCTAGAGCCTCTGTTGCTTGATTTAGTAATCGAATCGTCGAAAGCGTATCTCAGATGACAGCTATTAATTGAAAGTGGGAATTAGAAAGATCGCCGAAGCGAGAGAAGCAAAGATTTTCAAGAGCTTTGATCTAAAATCGCCCGAGTCCACGCGCAATCCTCTCCGCGGAATAAAACGGAGCGAAGCAAGGCGGCGGGTCGAAGCAGACGCGGCATTTCGAGCAGTCGTCGGTCAGACGAATGAAAGTTAATTGAGGGGTCGATGAAACGATTAAGAGGAATAGTTTCGTCGGGCGAGCGCGTCGGTCCGCTTCTCGCCAGGCGAGCCGCGGCCTGGCTGGGTCAACGGAGCGAGAAATTGCCGCGTAAATTGTAACGCGGCGCGGGTGTATACACGTGCGATCGTTTATCGTCCTATACTTTCCGCGCGGAGATCCAACGAGCGTCCTCTCGTCTAAGCCCCTCTCGTGCCCTCTCATTCCGCGGAATGAGGAAGAAACGCGGTCGAAGAATCTCGATTTAGGGTCAATTCACACTGTCGGTCCGCGAGCAGTCTCTTCGATGTTCTTCCATTGCTTATTGTTTCCGATGAACGAAGATAAATAGAGTAGCGATTCACAGTGGGAACACGCGCGTTAGGGTGCGTTCGTAGCGCAGATGCGATAAAAACGAGGCGAGGAAGCATATTGTGCTTTACATGTCTGAAACATGTGCTCGATACTACAGCTGCGTTTAGTTGATCGATCAATGATACGATAGTTGCCAGTCAACGTCTCTTAGCTTCTATCTACTGAGTAATCATTGTATGCCAACTCATCTCAGACTACGTTCTAACGTTAACCAATCTTAAATATTTCCTTTGCACTTCGATTTCAAGCCGATCGTAATAATCTGTAACGCGATTCTCTTCTCTATCCTATAAAATCCTTTTTCTCACAGTTCTCACAGCTCGGTGGATTTCCAAACGTCGAAACTTAAAGTTTCCCTGATACCATATTAACGGAGTACAAACGGTATTAGATCGAACGAAGAGGCGAATCGACCGTTAGTGTGAACCGACCCTTATCGATCACGAGGCCCCAGGGCCGCGGATGTAATTGTCGCAGCGACGGCGAGCGGCTCGTTCGAGTTTTATTAAAGTATCTCCCGATCGTTTGGCGTGCGGCGCGCTCCTCCCCGTCGTTGGAAGACAACAAGATCACCACCTTCGTCCCTCGTAAAGCGTCCCACGTAATAATTGCCGGCAGCCAGTGTATTTTTTCGCTGCAACGACAAAACAACATTACCCTCGTAAAAAAGGGTTGAGGCGGGAGGAGGGGAAGGCTCTCCAGTCTCTCTTCATAATGGTGGCATCACGTGCACGGCCGGCTGTGCGCTCTACGGCGCAATAATAAATTGCTACCGTTGTGCCGGCTATAGTTTTATCGTCCCATTTACGGCGACGACTTCTCTCCGGCGACCCCCTCCGCACTCTCATTTCCGAATCCGATGGGACCGTGCAGATAAACAAGGACGGCGCTGCGCCGCGCCGAACAGGACGGAGGAGCGTCGCCGACGTCTTGCGAGAACGTAAATCAAGCTTTGAGCAACCGAGGGGGCTCAGAGCGAAAGAAAAGAAGCGATGGGAACGGCAATCATTTTCTTTGCGACGAAGCAGGCTAATGAAGTTTGTCGTCGATAATGCGGAGGTTTCAATTAATATGGGTAAATTAAATTATTTACGACGTCTTCGGAAGCAAGCTACTCTATTAATACACAACTGCAAATAAGATAACTATACCGAGTCGACTGACGACCACTGACAACTCGCTCTTTGCCACTCTTCGACTGTAACTGACCTTTGCGCGGACGCCAGTCGTCCGTCTTATACCTAGAAACAGCCTTACACTCTTGAACTACGTTAAAGAGCACATTATACCCTAGAAGACGCTACGTTAATCGATCTTCCGCCTATCGATCCCCACCCCCGCAAGATCGCTGGCGTTCCCTGGGAACGTCGACAGGAAAACCGTCATTATCCTCATCTGTTCATCCCTCGTTGCAACCCCAACATCCGCAGGCCATTGACGAGCATCCGCATTGACGATGGACACTGCGCTAGGACTCTTTCGATTCCGAGTTAAATTCTCAATGTTCGTACAATTAATTGTTATTACTCACTCAGGTATCTTGCTACCTGTCTCACTCGCATTACGCTACGGGGAGTCGACGAGGATCGCGCGAGGACCGAGCGTTGGCCCCCATTTAATACGAGCTTTATTTCGCGTTCGGATCCATCGTTCGCCGGCCCTCCTACGCGCTTTCGATCGACACGGCCCCCGGGGCCGGCCGGCGGAGAGATACACAGTGGCGTGTCGCGCTCGCGCGACCGTAAACATCGCGCCGTTACACGGAGATTTGTGCACTCTCGGAATTCATGGTGATCCTTAATTGTGGGCCTATGTTTCAGGGGATAAGTCCCCTGCCCCCGAAGAGGCGGGAAGAATTGTTGCGCGTACAGGTACGATATTTAGCGTTTGCTTTACGCGCCATGGCCGGCCGGGGATAAATGCACTGCAAACACGTCCCTGCCAACCTTAACCGAGTTCTCGCGTGTGTCTCTCCGCGATCGGACGACTGCCGATTGCGTTGCGCGCCGGGTTGCGAATAAACTCGCGACAGCGCTGTCGTTACAGTTTCGTTCTTTGACAAGTTTATACTCCGAACAACTGCCATGTGTAAACTGAACCGGGTTTACGGTCGTAGAACTAGATCTGCGCTGCGAACATTCCTGGAAACAACGAAGCTTGGTACATAGAGTACACTAAATACCGAGTGTCTGAGTCGATTGGGGCAGGTGGAACGTAGATTATCTTGATGAAGAAAACTGCATTCTACCCAGCTGAATCCAATTGAAAAGGCTTCGCGTTTACGAGTTTCGCATTGATTTTCTTACGAAGAATGCACTTGTATAGCTACTCTTGAATAATTCTTTTATTACGTTACACGAGGTCTTACTTGTTTCACAAAAACCTGCTCTTCCCGTTCTTGGTTATATTTACTTACTTTCCAAATGTCTGAGCGTTCCGTTTGTTTTGTTCCAGGAGAACAAGGATCCCGTCGTCTATAATCTGGCTGCCATTGCTGGTGGCACTGGGCGCCAGGACAGCGTCCGCCACGAACATGACGAACGTGTCTCCGTTGGCTTCCACGGTGAGGCCCATCACCACCACGGAAGTAGTTTATCAGCGGTTCGCGATCGAGCCGATGGACCAGACCGCGGTGATCGGCAGCCGCGTGACGCTTCCTTGCCGGGTCCTCGACCAGAAAGGACCTATTCAGTGGACAAAGGATGATTTCGGGCTCGGCGCGGTCAGAAATCTCACGGGATACGAGCGTTACGCCATGATTGGCAGCGACGAGGAAGGTAAGCGGAACGAGAACAGCCGAGGAACCTCGGTCTATGTACACACACTCGGCCCGCGAGTTTCCCTTTGTACTTTCTCGCGAAGGTTGACTCGTTTTTTCTTCTTTTTATTTTTTTTGAAACAGCCCCAGTACTCTCTCGACCCTTTGCGCCCGCTGCTGCTTTCAATCCGCAGTCTCAGTCGCTCGGAACGCCATTTTCGCGGACTGTCTGCCGCGCCTAGCGGAACAGAAATATGGCGGACAGGTTTTTCAATGCTCGGTCGTGTTTAGATTAGCTCCCGACGTGGCGTATGGATACCGGAGAAATTGTTTTCACCTTTCCTTCGTTCCTGATGCTCCTAAAGATATATAAGAATTTCTGGGAGCTGGAAAAAACGATTGTCATATCAAATATGGTACATGATAGTTGCAATGACATGTTAACAGGTGAACTGACGAAGATTTCTTTATAATCAACCGATAAAACAGAGAATTCCCATTAGATCATTGCTGTTTAAACCGTCTTCCACGGTTTACAATTTTCATTTAGAAAGCTGGCCGCATGCTCGCAAAAAGAGCGTAGCGGTCAGCGGGTCGAGCCGCAAATCTTCTGAAAACTCGATTTCCCGCGACGAACAAGAATTTCCGGTGCGCAATTTCCGGTCTCGCGCGGTATCAACGATTTCACGGTGGAAAATTAGACGAAAGGATGGAAAGAAGAAAACGAGCGCGGGCGATAATCGATTCCGATAGAAACATTCGGACCGCAGAGAAGTCGGATAAAGACCGGCGCGTTCCGTTCTCCATCCATCACATCCGGCGTCAGCAGATGTGCCCGGCACAAAGGAATCGCGCGATACACGTCCAGCCCCAGCGACGGGGATCGGAATGGATATCCCGGCCGGATCACCGCCGGCAGACGGGGGTGCAAAGGGTTGAACATATTTCCAGCCGGGCCAGAAATCGAATGAATCTCGATGGAGGTGGCAGACGTTATTTCCTTCGCGCTCGTTCCCCAATTTTTCCTCTCCTCTCCGCTTTCTCTCTTGGCCGCGGCCGCACGCAGCCGGCCAGTTCGCGCGGGCCAAATTCAATTTCCTGCGGCGGCCTATTGATTTTTTGTTGCCCGCCCCTTCCCCCGAAAAAAGCAGGCCAGCGAACGGACCGGGGGTGGCGAGGGTAAATTGTCGCGGCGCGACAAAATATTTTATGTCTTCGCGCGGTGCGGCGCGGCGCGGCGAGGCGCGGCGCGGCTCGCCGGCCGAAAGAGACCGATTCGCATGTGAAATTCATGCGCGGCCTGCACCTGAACCTTCCCGGATCTTTGTTCGTCTCTCTGCGCCGGAAGGTGCCACGACCTTCGTAAAAGTTTCGCGAGTTACGCCTTTCCGGCTTTCCTGCAGCCTGATCGATCCTTTTGAGCTCTTCCAAGCCAACCAGACGACTTAGTCTGGTATTTGGACAATGTTGTTCCGTTATTTACTGTCTTTGGATACGTTTGATCGTCCTTTTACTTTGTTTCTGTTGATTGTATTGTTCGTGATCTATTAGGCAAAGAAGGAGGTACTCGTTCTGTGTCTACGTTTACTTTGATGAGATGGTATTGATAATAGATTTGGATCGAAGTAGGACAGAAGCTAGCAATTTCCGTTTCCATGTACTTGTTTTAATCAAATTTAGTACAAGTTTACGTTACTCCGAACTCGCCGAAACCAATAAGGAGGAAGTAATGTATTATTTAGCCCGAGTTCTTTCGAATTTTCCTACGGAACGAAAATTTGCATGAACGCTCACGGTCCGCCCTCGGGAGACCGACTCGCAAGCTCGATGCAGGTTCCTGCAGAATTCCGGTTCCCACGAAGAAAGAAGATTCGCGACTCGTATTGCAAGTGAAATAAAAATCGTACGAGCGTTTAATTCGTTGGACGGAGGCCGAGAACGTGTTCCTACAAACGACACGAATTACAGAGAAGAAGTCGTGCAGCCCGATTGCAGGGGACCCGGCGAAACGACGTTTCGATTCCGAGCGGAAAGACATTCGGACGCGAAATCTGCGAAAAATTCAAATCAGCCCTCGGAACGTTGTTTCGCGAGGCGCCGCGTTCGAAATCCAAATGTGGAAAGTCACGGGGAACTCGATAACGCAGGCGCGTTAAGCGAGGTCGTGGGCGGCAAGTTAAATTGCCTTTCTAACGAGTTGCGAAAAATGTGGGCCGCGGTGACAAAACATTCGACCGTCCGAGTCTATATGCATTCACCGGTTTCCTCGAATATTATACTCGACCGTCGCGGCGAGCTATCCACGATCAGAAGTTGCCGAACGTCGCGCGTGTACGTAATCAGCGGAAACGAGGAAGTTTCGGGGCAACGAAGTAACTTTCTGGGACCTTGACTCTTTGCACTGGCCGGACAGACCGCGGCCCCTTACCGCGAACATGTATGTTAGTTGTATTTATAATATTTAATATTATAAGAATATTAATATATTTAACTTCCATATTTTTAACTTCCGAAATCAAGTTTCATGAGCCACTTGACGGAAAGTGGTGTCAACGAGAAATTGATTTAACCGATTAAAAGTTTTATCGACATTCGAACGAAGAGGTAGACTCGTTAATATTTTAGAAATTTTTTAATCCGCGGAGTTATCGGATGATCGAGTCGCGGACGAGCAGAGCCTGTGCCCCAATTATTCAAAATAGATGTTCCGAATATTATTAAGAAGTCCGCGACGTCTTTCGATCCAATTGCCGATAAGATTGTCGGCCACGCGAAGACCGCGGGACCAGTTGATCGAACGAGAATTAATCTGCAAATCGTAATGTTATTCTCGCCTATTAGAGACGTCGAGCCAATTGGCCACTCAAGACCACTTCTCCGAGTGCGCGAGAGTGTTGTACGTATCCTCTTTCCTCGAACGAATCGCTGCGGCATAAAAGAAGTACAAGGCAACATCTCCGAGCAACCAGTGCGCTACAGGCGAAGTTCCACTCAACGATCTCGAGTGGCCACTTCATTTCGCGTCGACTTCAACACGCGAGTATCGCCAATATAAATCTAACGACCCGCGATTCGCCGATCGCGCGATCACCGAATGCATACGAACGACGCGTCTACGTTGTTATCCGGAAACAATCGTTTCGACGATCGGCGAAATAGTTTTCGAACGTCCCGCTTTGCGCTGAAACGCGAAGCAACTTTACACAGTAGATTACCCGAAATAATAAAGGAATCGTTCGAATAATCGATTTTTCAAATAATCGGACAAGAACAAGCAAACGCGCAGACCTATGTACGAGGAACCAATTGAAACGTATTTCAAAATCTATGACTCGATAAACGAATCTTCGGATAACCGACGTTCTACGTAGCGGAAAGTAGTTCAATCTACTTCTTCCGTGCCTTTGCGCCTCGGCCACAAAAGCGTCCCCGGCCACGACAGCGCTGTCAAATCCCGGCTACTCTCGATCGGTCTTTTTCAGACCTTGTCAGCTCGCTTTTCATCAGGTATCGACGGTTCCGGGCACGTTCGGGAAGAACAGGCCAGCCGTTTATTCGATTACCTGCCAATTAACCACCGCGCGTACCGCAAAGAATTCCTTTGGCAACGCGAGCCGGCCAATCTAATCGATTCGCGGCCGCAGGCTATTTTGCGTGGCGCGCCTCGTGCCGGCCCCGGCAGATTTCCCAATTTCTCTGTGACCGGTGCGCCGGCCGCGGATCTGTGTCATCGCGCGTCCATCGCCGCGATACGTAATATCATAATACGGAAACCGTTGCGGCCGGGGCGCAGTCCGAAGCGTCGGATTCCGGGCGATTTCGCGGAGTAAAATCCAAACGAAAGAAATATAATAACAGATCACTCTACCCTTCGCGAGGATTTTTTAGAGCATCCCAATCCTTCTCCATGAAAAGCTTATTCCTCGAACTTCTGTTACTTAAGCAACTAAACTGCAAGTGCCTTTCTGCTCTGGATACGAAAAAATGCGAATATGGCAACATTCGTTCTTCAAGTTCATCGAGTTGCGATATCCGTGTGTTCATCTTGCTGAACGTGAAATATTGAAACAGATTAGCTTCGTTCCTCGATCCATAATTTCTCCTTAACTCAGATCTCAAAGGAAACGTCTGGCAACTCGATGGAATCACAGCAATTTGACCGCGGCGCGTCCACCGCGTTAACAAGCGGCGTTCGTCGCCGGTGTACAGGCGCGGAGGCCTCGTCCCCGTCGAAACGCCGCGACGATCCGCTTTTTCCAGCCCAACGTACCCCGGTGCCGTGTCTAACTACGCAAAAAGCTGGCGCGCAAAAAGCTGCGCGCCGCTCCGAGGTTTATCCGTTGAAAAATTTCCGCGTTCCACCGCGATAAAACATCGCCGTGTACACACGTATTGGCCGCCTCTCGGCTGCCACTGCTCCCATACGCCTTCCTCGCGTTCTATTTGCTCCGCCGCGCGACAAGGATTAGCCCGACAGCCGATTCCCCGCGATACACCGGCGCAACGTTCCTATATCGACGTTATATACGCGGCGCTCGCTCGCTCGCCTCGCCTCGCCTCGCCTTCTCTCGCCTGCGAAAGCCGGCGAGGCGCGCGCTGCCGCCCGCGCACTCCGGACAATCACGCCCGGCACCGAACGATAAGGTTCGGAGCCGGGGAAAGGCAATTTAAGCGAACGGCACCCTTAATATACTGGGTGTACCGGCTGACTCTATTACCCGGGCTATTTCCTTGACTTTCGGAGGAACGGCCGCATTCCGCGCGGCACCGCGTGCCGCTTTAGCGACGCCGATGAAAATATTTACCCCGGTTACTGATACGCCGGATTTATTCGCTTGAGTAAGCGCGGACGCCTCGTCTACGGCATACTAATACCGCCGCTGCTTTCTACGAGAGAGGCGGATGCCTCGTAGTACTCTTTCGCCAGGAAATAATGAGCCGGTTGAATATAACGAGGATGAACGATGGGACGTTATCACAGAATCGTCGCGAATGTTGAGAAAATTAATGTAATAGCTT